TCACAATTGTAACACAAAACATACAATTATTTTAATTATAACTAAATTTTACATGTATTACTTAATTTTAAAAATATTTTTTTAATTTATAAATCTTTAAAGTAAACAACAACAATTAAAAACAAAATAATATAATATCATATAATAAGTTTTTAGTATTCATTATATATTAATTATTATACATATAATATTATTTTTAATAATTTAATAATATTTAAATTTTTTTAAATATGTAAATTTGACTAGAATTCTTATACATACAAATAAAACAATTTAATTTTATTCTTATAAGAGTAATTATAATAAATTAATATTTTTTCAACATTTTATAAGCACTAAACCAGAAAGTTTTTATTATTCCAATAAAAGATTTCCTTAAATTTAAATTAATATTCTTAATCTTAATAGAATAATATTAGATATAATCAATTTATTTTATAATAAATTTATTATAATATAAGGGTGTATTTTTTATTACTATTATGACTAATGAATTTTAAATTAATTGTGTTCTTACTGTAATTATATTTTTAAATTAAAATGTATTTATTGCACATAATTTCATTTTATTCATATATGTTATTTAATACACATATATAATATAATTATTATTTTCCAAATTTTTTTTTCATTTTTTAACTCGAAGACAATATTTTTTTAATCTTTAGACGTAGTGGATTTAGTTATTACACAGGTTAGTGATATTATTAATAATAATAGAATACAACTAGTTATAATCCAACTAGCTTTTTTTTACAAATATGTTTATATATATTTTAAATTATTTTTTATACATGTTTATTTGTAATTATTGGTCATTGTTTATATATAGGTTTAATTGAATATGATTTTTTATATTTAATTATGTTTATTTCAGTTTATTTAATTTTATTTTAATTCATATTTTTATATTTTATTTTATTTTATATATATTTTTTAATATATAATGAAATTATTTTTTTATTATTAATACATGAAATTTCATTATATATATTAATTTTATTTATATTTTTATTTATTTATATGAATTACTTTTTTCAAATATATTTTATTTTACATTTACTTAGATATAAAGTTATGTATTGAATTATATTTGCTAACATAATTTTAATTAATTAATTTTTTTAATATTCAGACTTTTATATATATTATATATCTTTATGTAATTATGTTCAAAGTTTATTAATATTATTATTAATTTTATTAATTTTTTATCAACGTCTATATATTTAATTTTAAATAAGTTTGCTTATAATTATTTATATATGCTTGTATATTATATTGCACATCTTTTGGTTACTATAAGTTTTGTTATTATTATTTATTTTTTATTTTTACATGAAAAATTTTATGTATTTAATTTAAATTATTTTTATGTATTTTTAATTTTATTTTAATTGTATTTTTAATCTTTTTTTTATATATTTGAAATAATTTTTATTTCTATGCAGGTTTATTAAAATTGATTTTTATGTTATGGATAATCGCTAATATGTCAATTTATTAATATTTATTTATTAGTGCATATTATTATTTATTTTTATATTAATATTATTATAAATAAATAAATATTTGAGTTTTTATATTTTTATATTCATTATTAGAAATTTGTATTATATATAACATAGTTTTGTGTGTTGTAAATATTATTTATTATGTCATATATTATATTTTTAATCTGAGATCTATTCTTAAATATAGAGTAGTAAGTGGGAATCTATTTTAACAATTTATTTTTATAGTTATACATTTATATTTTTATATATATAAGTGCCCTAGTTTTACTTAAGAAGCTTCATATTAGATTAACATCATATATAAATGATATATGAATTTTTTCAATGTAAAATAAAAAAATTTTTATTTAATTCATATCGAATTTATATAAAAACTTTACTTAATTTTAAATAATTTATTTACAATTTCTTAAACTGAATAGTTTTTTTTTATATATTTTTTTAAACTTATATAAGTATATTAAAATTTAGTAAAGTGCATTAACTTAATTCATTATAGCTTTTATTGTATATTTTTAATAAATTATGAACTTTTCTATATATACATAAAATTATAAAATTCGCTCACAATTATTAATTAATTTTGAGGAACTTGTATACCATACACTGTTGTTGAATGAACAAAGAAAATTACATTTTTATATATTCTTTTTTGTTTTTTTTTTTTGTAGTTTTTTTTTGTATAATAAGATTTTGATTATTATAATTAAATTATATTTAAATATATTTTTATTACAAGGAAATATTCAATGTATTGTATATATGTAATATATTTATGTTTTTGCATTACTCTAATGAGATAATTATTTACACAATTTAGAAATTTTTTTATAAATATCATATATGTTTATATTTATATATATGTAAAACTAATATTGAAAAAAAAATTTTGTAATCTGTATTTTAAATTATCTTAAAATATATTTTTAAAACTTTAACAAAAAAGCAGCATATTAACTAAAGAAAGTAAAGTTTAAATAAATTAGAGGGTTGATAAAGTTCCAGACAATTTTTTCAGATGTTATAAGTATGTGTTATATACTTATGCCGTGCTTACTTAATAATGTTATATCTATAAAATTTTATTTGAAAATCGATTATTTCATTCCTGTAAATCAGATATATATTTCTATTATATTTTTATTGCTATTATTATATTCTACATTGTTTATTTTTAATTGCTTTTAATATGAAATATATGATTATTGATGCCTGAATTTGTTGTGGTTTTTAATTATTAAAAATCTTATAAATTTTTTTTTTATAAAAATTATTAAAAATTTGTTTTTTTTACTATTCTTTTAGTAATATTTATTTATACATAATTTTTTCTAGCAATAATTATTTGTATATAAAACGTTTGCGATCTTATATCTAAATTCTTAAGTGTATAGGTAAACGTTTTAAGGAGGTATATGAGGTATTTGGTTTATAGTATTTCCTGTTTTAGTTTGATTTCGATTTTTTATATTCAAAAACTTTTAATTTTTTAATAATTTAAAACAAACAAAGAAGGGATATTTAAAAAATTCAGAAATGCAAAAGATTTTAAAAGAATCATACATTCTGATAATAAACTTCAAACCACTATATTAAAAAATAGTTATTAAAAACATTTTATTTTAAATTTAATATAAATTTAAATAACAACCTTCGAAAATAGGCAAATTTAAAAAATTTATATATTTATATAATTTAACTAAAAAATAAATACAAATACAAAATAAATACAAAATAAAAAATAAAAATAAGATATTGCGTTTAGTAACTTATTTCAATGAATATAAATTAAAATATTAACTAAAAATTAATTAAATAATTATTAACTATTAAATTTAATATTTTAATACCAAATAAAAATGATTTGAGTGTAATAAATCGCGAGTTATATATATTATAACTTAATATATATATATATATATATATATATATATATAAATATTAATTAAAAAATGAGTTCCATTAGAATAGATTTAAAAGATAAAATAATTTTTTATAATTATTGAATAAAAGCAAATTGAAAAACTTAAATATATGAAAATTTATATGATATATAAATATCATATAATATTTTTTGTGTAATAAATTATGAAAATTATAAATATATTAAATATATAATATATATATACATATATATATATATACTGATGTGAAAATAATTATGAGCAATTATTATTGATAATTAAATATTTTTTGGCGAATAACTTTATATATAATATACTATTTAAATCAAGATAATTAATTCAACTGCATAAAAAAGTAATGGAATTTATTTAATTAAATAATAAAAATTTATTAAAACTATGTATTATTTATTAAAAAATTATAAATTGAATAACAAAATAAAAAATGATATAAGAATTAAAATAAGAAATTTGATTTAATATATAATTATTTCAAAAAAAATTATTAAAATAATAAAACTAATAACTGCAAAAAAATTGCACAAATAAATATAAGAAAACTAAATTAATAATTAGTTAATAAAAACAAAATAATTACTTTTAATTAATTATTAATACATGATTAAAACTAAAATACCATAACTGTCGTAATAAATAATTCAATATTAGAATAAACAATTATTAATAATTAAAGAAAAAATAAAACAAACTGAAATTTTTATTTTTAACAATGATTTTATTTATTTTGAAATGTTTACTTTTTAATTTTTATATTCCTTTCATTTTTCATACTATAATCAAAAAATAAATATATTTATTATTTTAAACTAATTGTATTTAACTATTGTTTTCTATTTATTTGTTATTGTTTCATTTTTAAAAATTATTTGTAAGTTCTTTTTAATGTTTATATAAATAAATTTTTTATTCAATATCAAATTGTATTTTTTAACATTATTATACAATATAAATAAATTTTTCTTTAAAAATATAATAACAAATTAGGTTACTTAATATAATAAAGTAATATTAAAAATAAATTAAAAACAATAGGAACAACTTAAAGTTTATTTTGATTGTGTGCTTTAGGAAAAAATTGTTTAAATAATAGAATTATTATTATTAAATTTTATAAATAATTTTTTTTATGTAAATTATTATCAAATTATTATGTAATATAATTTAAATTAGCTTAAAAATAAAACAATTTACATGTAAAAATTAAAAGTAATTTTGTTTTTTTAATTTTTATATACAATTTTCCGATTTGTTTGCTTAAATAATAGAGAAAGTCTTACATGAAAAACAATAATATATATTAATTAAAAATAATTTAAAAAAAAATTAAGCTGCTAATAAAATAATTGGCAAGCAATGGCACGTAATTTTTAATTAAAACATAAATATATATAGTAATTTTATATATGTTATATGTAATTTGTAATTTATTGGTATTATTTTATATTTTTTATATTATATTGTTTTGTTATATTATACATTTTTATTTGATTTTAATATAAGCTTAATAATAATTATATAGACTTGTACTTGGTTTAGATAAATTCCTGTTTTCATTTTTTAAAATTTACTGCTAAACAGCATTGTTGTTGTTGTAGTTGTTGTTAGTTTTAATTGGGCGTGGCAGTTGAACAAAATTTAAAATTTCGTTTTACATTTCGACATCGTTTCATTGGATGAAAAAGTCGATTTTATTTCAAGTTTTTTTTCTTGCTTACCTAATAACTAGTAGAGTTCTTTGGGTTTTCCTCACAAATCTTTGAATACATATTTTACAAATGTCAATATAACTTCTGCTAGCTTAGTCCATGCTAAGACCCCGCTTCATAACCGCTAAATGCTGTTGTCTCATATACAGGGTCGCTGCATCGTCCAAATCATCCAAGTCGATATCATCGTGCAAAGATTCTGGTGACTGTACAGCTGTCGGTAATGACATATCGTGCTGTGTACTGCTCTCTCCAGATCTAGGCGAGTGCATACTCAAGTCCTCAGGTTCCGTTTGTTCAGGCATATCGCTTGGTACATGCATAATCTGTGTTGGTAAACGGAATACACGGCGTATATCTTGTGCTTTACGCGTACTACGTCCACCATCCACACTGCTACCACAATCTTCAGAGAGATCTAATGGTGTTTCTTCGCTTTCTGTGGCATCAAAAACAGTTGTGGATGAGTGTGACAAAAGTGGTGCATTTTTGCCCATATCAAAGGATTCCTCTGATCCATAACTGGAACCCATATTATATTTAATTTCACTCAAACCATATTCAGTACTTATGGCGGGACTGATGGCAGGCGTCGGTGGTGATTGTATACCACATTTGTGATTCATTAAATGATGGCGCCGTCGGAATTTCATTTGACAACGTTCGCATTCGAAAGGTTTTTCGCCATTATGCACTAACATATGTGATTTCAGTTGATTAGAATCACTGAATTTGCCATCGCAGATCTCGCAAGTGTATGGACGTTCTCCAGTGTGGACGCGTAAATGACGCCTCAAGTTCGCCACTTGCACAAACTGACGGTCGCAATGTGAGCAGTGATAGGGTTTTTCGCCTGTATGTAGACGCATATGTGTCTTCAAATGATGGTCTCGTGTGAAACGTTTATGACATTCAGGACATTCGAAAGGTTTTTCGCCCGTGTGGGTGCGCTCATGATTCTGTAGAACGTGTTTATAGCCAAAGGAGCGCGAACAGATTTTGCATGTAAAACTTTTATCACGTGAAGGATCTTTATGCGCGCCACTTGGACCGTTACCAGCATGACCGCTATTATCATGTGTAGAGTTTGGTGAGGAGCCGCTCGATGGTGGTGAAATAGGACCCGTTGAATTGTACAAATCATTGACACTCATGGAAATTTCAATTGGGGGTGAAATGAGATCCTTTTTCACGGACAATTTACGTGTCTTCTTAACTGGTGCATCACTGTGGACGCTGCTGGTGGGCGAAGTAAGGCTCAGGTTGTGTTTACTGGTCGGTGTGGCAGCTGCTAAAGGTGAGTGCGGACTGGCGGGTGGTGAATGTGGACCAGATGAGAGTGGCATATGTGGTGAGGAAGTGTTAGCAGCCCATGAACCGAATAATGCTGAATGATGTGGGAATAATGTTGAGGCTAATGTGGACATGGGCAATTGTGCAGCCATAAATGCGGCCGCAGCTTGTCTATTGGCCGCCAATAGTTGCGTCGGCGACAGCATGTTAAAGGCGCTCGCGGCGGCAGCTTGTTGTAGGCCAGGATATATGTTGCTTGATGAAGAGTTAGCGGACATTGGTGGTGATAGGGAAAGTGAACGATCAACATCTTCACGCTTTATGCCAGCTAAAGCAGCAGCTAAGCCTAAAATAGAAAGAGGAAAAAAAAAAAAACGAATTGATTAGTTTTCGAAAAGAAAAATAAAATCCTGCTGTGCAAATTATAAAAAATGTCACAAACATTCAACTCGTTTGGGTCAAATTGTCACTGACCCAAACGAGGCAAACTACGGTTTACGCATTCATACTACAATATTTACCGACTGACTTTTTAGCTCAAGGGCAGAGTAACAGGGGCGAATTTTCTTAAAAAGCGGGAAATTACAAAATGCACACGTGCCAACGTCTACAACAACAAAGCAAAGCAACACACACAAAACTCTATCAAAGCAAGGACCTTCACCTTTTTTGTGTGTTGCGTTCGTTCTTTTTTCCTTATTATTTTATTTTGACTCCTCTTTGCAGTTAGGTACTCGTATATGATGTGAATATACTCAAAACAAAACTGAGAAAAAACATATGTGAATCAGTTCGTCAGCATATACTCACAAATAAGGCACATGTGACGAAGTAAAAAGTAAAGAGTGAGTTTCTATAGAAGGGGAAATATATTCAGAGAATAGAATTCACTCTTCAGTGTTTGAAATTTTTTAAGAGTTTATTGAAGACAAAACACACACGTTGATTGCGTGAGCAATCATATGTGTACCGCATATGAAAAAACGTGAGTAAAATTTGTTTGACAATGTGTGAGCGGCTGAGTTAAAGAGTTGTGCGCTATTGCACAACTCGTGTTTGTGTGTATGCTTGTGTGTGTGATGTTTGTTATGCGGTGTTTGGGGGCGTGTAAACGAGTTAAGTTGTCAATAGCCGGCGAAAAGTATAACAATAGAGATAAAAGGAAATAAAAAAAGAAAACAAAGTGAAGCGTGAGTGCAATTGTGTGCGTAAAAGTTGTAAACAAAGCCTTGAACAGCGGTGTGGGTAAAGAAAGAACAAAAAATAAAAATATAAATAAAAAAGGATGAATGCAAGAAAAATGGAGTCGATTGCCATTGAGACGTCGTAATTGATGGAAGAAGTTTATGCTTTACGATATTGTGGGCTGTATGCGGGTTGTAATAGGACACTAAATAGAATACTAAATAGGATACTAAATATGTGTGCGGTTATGGGAAGCACGTTAGAGTGAAAAGGGTTAAAATTTTAGTTTTCTGTCAGAAGATGGGGTGCGCTTGTAGTAATGCGAATTCGTTATTTTAAAATTATTTATTTATTAGTTAATAACAAATTTTATTTGCAAATTTTATGTAATTCTTAAAATAATATTTTATTTAGATATTGCAGTAAAAACTTAAAATAAATAAAAAGAGTATAAGAATTAAGAATTTAATTTAATAGGGAATTTCTTAAACATTGTAATATTTTTAATGTCAGATATAATTATTTAAGTCAATGAGTTTTAATATTTGTTTGTTATATTAAGATAATAATAGCAACAGCAAAATAAACATAAATAAAAATTAAATGTTAATTATTAATATATTATTAAATTTATTTAATTTAAATGAAACCTTATTTATAAATACTTATTTATAAATAAATGTCTTGTAAAAAAATATATGTATAGGTCAAAATTTTTCAGAATAGTAGCCAAAGCTTTTTAAATTTCGATAATTCATTCGAAAACAAATTTATATAAAAAATTTATATGAAACATTGTTATTTAACTCAAAAAGTGAAAATGAAAGTATAAAAAATTAATTTTTTAATTTATTAAAATTTATTTCTGAATTTGAATTTGGTTGTAAATCATATATACTATAGTATTTAACTTTATGGTGGACCTAACTAAGCCAATCATATTTAGCCACATAATAATAGCAGACCTACTATTCAGGATATCAGGATACTACTTGGTTTTATCTAGCCTTACATATTAGAGAAGGTAAGAAATTAATATGATATCATAAAAATAATAATAATTAAAAACATAATATTAACAAATAAAAACAAATTTTTATGATATTAATATTATTAATACATATTGCAATTTATTTAAAATTTTATATATATTTTTAAACATTAGCATTTATAATAAAAATTATTAAGATATTTATTTTTATGTTATATAGTTACATTATTACATTAATATTTTAATATTGCAGTTTACTTAAAATTTTCTTCAATTAAATTAAAATGAAATAAGAATATTACTTAAATAACTTTATACGCAAACATAATAATAATTAACTTAAGGTTTAATTAATTAAGTTTAAATTAAGAAAAACTAAATGTTATATCGCAAGTAAAAATAAAATATCAGTATGTCTATTATAAACTTTATTAAAATTATTATTAATTATGTTAAATATTTCATTAAACACAAAATATATATAAATTTATTCAATTATCGTATAATCAATTATAATTTTAGTGTGAATGTAAAGGCATTTAAAAATAATATATTATAAAGAATTAATGTATAAAACGAAATCTCTTGTTAAAATTAATAACTAAATAATATATAAAATTGTGTAAATACTATAGTTAATAATTAAACATATACTAAATGCCCCAAAAAAGGAAATGGTATTTTATATTGATGTGAATGATAAGGTATATAAAAAAATTAATAAAATTATATATTTGAATTTTTGTTTATAATAACTTCATGATAAAATGAAATGTATTTATTATTTACTTAAATGCTACAAAACTTTTTAATAAAAAAAATTATAAATTAAATTACATAAATACAATATACTGTAATCAACTACATTTAACTAAATTAGCTTATAAAATTAAACATATTTAATTTTAATTGGAATATTAAAAAGTATTTAGAAATTAATATATTGACAAAGAAATATTTTTTTGTCAGTAGAATTGCTTTTATTTAATAGTGAAATTAATTTGAAATTATATTAAAAATAATTCTAAAATATTAATTAATTTTAAATATTAATTTAATAACGTTAAAGCTTCTTCAATTTTTAATTGTATGTATTATATATATTGTAATGAAATATGCATTATTTAAATTGCTGATGCAATAAAATTTATTTAATTTTAAGTTGAATGTTAAGGTATTTAAAAAATAAAAATTTTATTAGCAATTATATATAACAAGATTTCTTATAGTCTTCCTTATAAAATTAATTTTAATATTAATAAATTAAAGACTTTAATTGTCATAGTCAAAGGCTTTTGCAAATGTCAATGTACTATTTATAATATATACATAAATATTAAACATTAATAGTGAAATAAATTTTTTATCACATCAGTAATTATAATATAAATAACTGTATGAATTATTTATTAAACTTAATATAATTAAGGTTTTTTTGTTTTATTATTTATTATTTTTTTCTGCAATATATTTTCTTATACATTTTAATTTCTTAAAATTAGAAATTACTTAATATAAGAAATTCTTTGTTTCTGCCTTTAATTAATTAAAATAATTAAAAAAAATTGTTCGTATATATAATAATATAATTTAATATTTAAACAATGATAATATTTTTTTATATTTTATTTTATTTAATTTTTAAATGTATTTTAATGTATATATTTAATTTTAATTTGAATGTTAAGATATACATATATATTTTTAAAAAATAAATAAAATTTAATAAATGCTTTTTATTGTAATTTATTATATATAAGTAAATGTTCTTAAAAATAAAACATTTAATTTTATATTTCTGTTTTTAAAAACTTTTTAATTGTTATAAAAATGTTAAGGCAATTTAAAAATATTCAATTCTTATATTAATAAAAAGAATTTTATTGAATTAGTGTTGTAAATTGTAATTATTTATTAGTAAAATTATTTAATTATTTTAAAAATCATTGTATAATAAATTAAATAAACTTTTAATTTATATAAATTATATTAGTTATGTAAGTTTTATTATAAATTGTATATTAAAACTTTATAATGTTTATGTCATTATTATCATTATTAATAAATAATGCCCATTTCTTATTATTTATCATTTAATTCTGCAATATATTATATTATATATTTGAATTTCTTTTTGATGCTTATGAGTAACAAAATTAAAAAATAATTTTTTATTATTAAAAAATATTAATGTTAAAATAATTTAATATAAATAATATTAAATTGTTATATATTTTTTTTATAATAAAAAAACTTACTTCGCGTTTGTGCTTCCTGCAGCAATGAAATCGCCATTTTCGCCTGATTAATTGTTGAGTCCTTGCGCCCGAAAGTGCGTAACGAATTATTCGCTTAAAGTTCAAAATCAAACTTTTATGTTTTCGTTTAAGGATTCTCAATGCTTATAAGTGTTAAAGTGTTGTAATGTCATATATATAATATTTTGCAAAACATTTGCTTAATATATTTAAAAAAAAACATAAATTAATACACAAGAGTTCCGTATAAGTTCCGCAGCACTTTTGTACTTTGAGGTAGTTGCACATTAAATTACATTAAAAATATATTCCAAAAATTGTTTGCGAAATTCTAGTCCTTTTAGTATTCAGTATTCAACAAATGAGGTAGTTTATTTTTTATTCCAATAAATTCTTTTAAAAAATTTTTAATAATTTTTTTTTTAAATTTTTTTATTAAATTTTTTTTACAATAAATTTGAGGTATTTGGTTTGTTGGTTAATAATTTATTTTTATTGCATATAAATTTATTAATTATTAGTTTCGTATAATTTAAGACACTTTTTTTTTGTTGTTTGGTTTGGTTTGTTGATTTTTGCAGCTGATGTGAGCTTGACGAGTTGTCGCAACGTAATGATATGATTTGCCGTAAGAAACACGTAATTTATACTAAAAAATATCCTTTTTTTGTGTGATTTACTTTTTAGTTACGGTATGCGTAGTGTACGTTACGTTTAGAAATCAAGAAAAAAAATCCTTTATTATGTCGTGTTTTTGTTATTTTTTATGTGGAAAAACAAAAAAAGTTCTTCCATGGTAAAACGCAAAACGCAATCAACAAAAATTTTCACTCCTCTCAACGCAAGAGTCAAATCACGACTGCTACAATTTCACTGCGTGTCCTCAGTATAAAAGTGAAAAGTATATTTTGCTGCTAATCGAGTGCTGCTTGCTTTGCTTGTCTAAGCACAAACTACAAACGAATTCAGAACATCAGAACACAACACATAAAAAAAAAGTACGAGCAAAACGCACAAATCGACTCATTTCAACACTAACAGCCAACAAACACATTAAGCAGAGGGTTGGTTGCTTTCTTGTCGTAGCAGGAGGAACAGAGCAGAGCTGAGCAGAACAGAATCAAGCATAACAACGTTGAGAAGCCATAAGCAATGGCATAGCACTGCTGCACGACTACTACTACTACAAAACAGTTGTAGTACGAACAGTTTAAGTGAAGTACATAAGCAAGCAGAGCCAGCACACATCACATAGCACTGCAATTGAAGTAGAAATGCTGTAACGAATGCTCTGCTCTGCTATGCTATGGATTTTATGTGTGATGTGCTGTGAAAAGAAATGCTGAAACAGGTAGCATAAATGCTCAAAGTACAAATATTCGCGCTCTTACTCGTTCATCCAATCAATCAGTTGAGCTGATAAACGAAGAGAGTTCATCGCTGTTTGCTGATTAAATTTAAAACGAAAGCCAAGTATTCATTTGGAGAAAACCGTGGTGGAGAAATGATCTCTATGTTTGATAGACAGTTTAGAAAAGGCGGCCAAGCAGTTGTAAATTAATCATGTACTTCCCAACAATATCTTAAAGCTGCTCACAATCAAACCTCTGCGATAATATTAATTATTAATTATAATAATAAATTAATTAATTAATAATAAGTCACCATAAGCGACTTAATATTTTAAAATTCATTGCAAATGAATTTGATGATCTTTATACAGAAACATTTTTCTTAAACAAATATTTCTTATTAACTATAAAACTAAATTTTATAATTGCTTCTAAAAAATAAAGTTGTGAACTTAAGAGTTTCACATAAGCCTATAAGGATCTAATAACTTTATTTGGGCGCACATATGTTCTCAATAAATTTTCTCATATATATAAAAAATAATTTATACCAAAAAGTTTTTTAAAAGGCCCATCTACTTAACTGAATAATAAAGGCTCTGAGTCACTTTTGCGTATGAAGGAAAAGATAGACACTTCTATCATTAAATGTAAAAATTACATTTTCCTTATCATAATAGATACTTTTATCATTAAATGTAAAAATTATTAAATGCATAAATAATAAAAAACTTAATTTAAAATAAGCTTTTTTTCACATATTCCTAAAATAGCCACCTATTTCTATATATAATTCTGAATTTTAAAACCGAAACATATATTTTATACATTTAGAGACATGACTCCACATGATTGGACTTAATATAAATTATTTCTCCAAACCTCTAATTCGCTAATAATCTTTTCTAGTCTTTTCGAGATCCTACAGGTTTCTATGTAAGTCATTCTTAATTTTTTAATAATTACTTTCAAACATTTAGAGACACTCTAGATTGTGGAATTCGACATTAGCTAGTTATATTTATACATTATTTCACCAATTTTCTTTCCTAGACATTTGAAGATTCTGTAGACCGCTGGATTCGATGTCAGGTACTTTAAGTAACCTCATTTTCAGACATTTAGACATCTTACAGAGCGCAAGATTCAATGTAAGTTGAATTGGTTTACTAGTAATTATTTTCAAATATTCAGAGAGCCTCCGGAATGCGGGATTCTACATGAGCTACCCTTCCCATTACTTTTAAAGTCACTTTAAAGCATGTTGGGATCTTACAGATTTTTGGAATCGATGTAAATAACTCTTATCATCCATTAGTATACTACTAAATATTTTCAACAACTTAAAGAACCTCCATATTGTGGGATTTGACAGTTAGTTTTATTTATCTCTTAGTTTATTAATAAAGATTAGTAATAATCATGGAGGAATGATAAAAATGCAGTGAAGAAGTGTGACTATCTAATTTATATACTTTTTATGGGGAGACCAAACCCATATCACAATAGCCTAAGAAGTGATAACAGTATATAATATGATAGACTGGTGGATATGTCCACTCTGATAAAGAGTATACGTAAATGATTTCACCGTGTTGAAAATATCTTATATGTAAATCTTTGTTTTTCATATATTAAAACTGAAATTAAATGAAATAAATTCCATATATATATATATATATATATATATATATATATATATATATATATATACATATTTAGTTGATTTCTCCAAGTGCAACGGAAGATTTGAACTAATTGGCGATCCAGCCACACGCGTGAGCCAAAGTCAAGAGCTCTTTAGGTCTCGTTAGGCTTTCACAGAGTTTCAAAAATTTATAGCTTTAATAAAAAAAAAAAAATATATTTGCAAATACGTCTACATATTTTATATTAATAATATTTATATATATGTGTATATAAAGATCTTTTGGATAGTTCTGGTTTTCTGATAGTTGGAGAGTATAAAGGCATAGGGCGACTGCTTTTATTAAAATAATAAAATAAAATGTCTTCAGAAATATAAATACTATTAAATATATTTATATATACTTAATACTTATATACTTAATATATCACTAATTTACTGTTATATTATATATGGATATTCAAAAATATAGTATTACTTTTTTTTTTAATAATTACGTTTTCTTTAAAAACAAATTATTTTAACAATTTTAAATTTATTAAGAACTAATTACATTGCATTTATTTTCGTTTCCCCTTTTTCATACAAAACATTTACTTACTCCCATCCACACAAACATAAGTAAATAGCACCTATTTCTCAATTTCTTATATATCAATTTATCGCTCCAATAAGGAGTTTTAACGCATCTTATTGTCTTACATAAAATGTTATTTCCCTTCTAAGAGCGCAACACATTTTCCCGCTAATGAAAAACTCTTGCTCAACATCTTGCCTGGTATTTCCCTTTGATGTTCGGTTAATAGCAGCGCATACTCCGTCGCGTGCGCCCATTCGTCGTTAATCATTTCAATCGAATAGGGATTCTACTTGATTCGCCTTTTATTTTTTATATACGAAAGAATTCATTTATTCACGCTCTTGAGTTATATTTCACACTCATTTTGAGTGCTTATTCCCCTTAATATTTTCCCTTTCATATATTGTATATATTTTTTTTATTGAAATTCATCCTTTACATATATAAGACTTTTTATGTTAAGGGGTAGTTTTTTTAATATTATGACGATATATTTGGGAATTTTTTTTTTGGCGGGGAAATGAGTTATTTTTTTATTTTTATTAAGATCTACTAATTATATATTATATTTAATATTATATATTTTATATTCATTTTAATGTAATATATTAAAAATATATAATATTATTTATAATATATAATATTATTTTAAAATAATATTTAAATAAATATCGTTTGTCTTTTGCCTACCTGGGTATAATATATATAAGATAAAAAATTTGAACATCTTTATACAAAGCTTTCCTGCAAAAATATCCTTGTTTTATATCCGTATATGATATATCCAATTTTTTGTTTCTTCAGTTTATTCTGTTCATTCTATATTTACTATTTTTAATTAACACTATATTAAATTGAGTCTTACTTTATATTAATTTTTTTCAATTTCTACTTATTTTACTTTATTGCATTCTGTTTTTAGTACTGTTAGTGATTTACCTGGGTTTAACGTTTGCCTACCTGGGTAAAGTAATGGGCTTAATTGCGCAATTGAAATGTATTAAATTGAGTTTAAATTTATATTTGAAGCAGTTTTTAATCAATTGTTTTTCAATTAAATAAATATGGAAGGAAACTATATAGTTAATATTTTAAAGTGGATTTGTGATAGAAAAATCTTTTTTGTGATCCTACTTAATGGATAAGATAAAAACTTATTAATAAAAATATATATTATTGATGAGACTGAACTGAAAGTTTTCGAGAGAAAATTTCTTCCTAAGATCTTTGGTCTCCTACGAGGTACTGATATCTATCTCAACATTGGATCAAGTCCTAGCGAAGATAGGACTTTTTAGATATTAAAGTCAATATGTTTCTTTCGTTAGATAAAGACAGAAAGTGAAGTTATAAGCAGTTTTTAATTATTATTTATTATGATAATTTTTGCATAATCCACTTGTTAGAATATACTACTTTTCTGACAATAGAATCCGATAGTGTTCTGTTAGGACTCCAGTAAGCACCTAAGCTGTAAGTTTGCAAAAACACAACAAATCGCTTGTTCTTTTTCTATCTTATTTAGAAGATATGGCTCTAATAACTCCATGAATCATTCGTCACCGCAATGCTCCATTCGTCTATTTTTCATTTTGGTAATTGTCTCGGAATATTATATCTATATCTAATATACTATGGGACTTCATGTTTAATTCAAAGCACTTGTTATATTAAATAGCACTCAAGATCTTTGTGATGAGTTATTAGTCACCGCAATTCTCTATTTATTAATAGATATATCAATAGATATTCAACAGATATTATATTCTTATTCCTAATGTAGGAGATAGGGTCCAAGGTCTCGATGAGTGATTCATCTATTCCTTTATTTATCAATATTTATTTATCAATCTTTATTTATCTCTATATCTACATCCATATTTTTGTTGTCACATGGTATTTTATTAATTATTCATAACACATTTTTTATATAAATCATTCGTTATTTTTCTATATAGGCTTCCTTGGGGTTCCAATGACCCTACAGTCCTTATGACTAGTCCATAAGTCATTCTTATGATTTATTATAAGTTAAACAATCATAGCAGACATAAGTTATATGATTTGCTTGGAAGTACATCTCTAATTTGTAACGTTTAGTTTATTATTACTTAGGATCTCAACTCCGATCGTTCTCATATTTTATATATGGTTCTTAAATAATAAAATGAGTTATGATATTTTGGTATTGTATAATTGATTTTATAGACTCCGAAATATTCAATTTCTTTTTTCTATATTTTTTCCTTAAATAATAAATAAATAAAAATATGGTTTTTGTTTTGGAAATAATTTTATTTTGATTTTTTTTAACTATTCCCTGAAACTTATACATTAATGCAAGGATAATTCCTTGTAAGGATACCTAGTATAAAATCTTTTATATAAAACAAGATCATAGTTTTCCTGAATAACTTTAAGTTAATTTTGATTTTTGTTTTTAGTGTTAAAATCCTTAATCTAAATACAATACAAGAAGAAATAATTGTACACAAGAGTTTTGGATTAAAAAGACCTTTCTGACGTTTTTAAATTTACATTTAACCAATAATACTTACATAAACTAACTTTCCCCTATTTGGTGTAGTATTCAATCCACTCAACCATTTTTATACATATTAGTTAAAATTAATTTTTATACATAATACATTTATACATAAATAAATAATAAATTAATAAATAAAAAGCATGCAAGTTGTTAAAATTGTTGATTGCACTTCAGTTTCAATTCCCTACTTTTCCTTTCGGTATATATACAGTATATGAATGTCCACTACAAAGGATTTTTAATTTTGTAGTGTGATTTGTAGTTGGCTTAGACCGATTCAAATTTTCTCTACACATTACTAAAGCGTGGTATTGTTGATCCTTACTTGATGTTTCTACTTCAACAAATTTTTGAAGATCAATCTCTATAGCTCTCTATAGCTGTTGATTTAGTGGAGTGTGCGTGGTTCAGTCTGTACCGGTATGTATATTTTGCTTGGGGAAGACTGCGTGTATATTATAACTTATTCCATTGGTATGCTAAATCTCAGAGATGCATAGTTTTGTTGGTGCAAATGAAATCTTTCTGCATCATCAAGTTCTTCCAGATCAATATCGCTCATGGAATCTGGAGAATCAACATAAAGGCGTGTTGTGTGCATGCTCAAATCCTCTGGTTCAGTCTGTATCGGCATATCGCTTGGTAAGTGTGTTATTTGTGGAGGTAGACGGAAAACACGACGTATATCATGTGCCTTACATGTATGACGTCCACTTTCTACGCTATTGGTATCATCGGAGAGATCTAATGGTGCCTCATTTATCATCGCGTTATCGTGTGAGTTTAACATTGGTTTATCTAATTCCATTGATTCTTCTGAGGTAAAGCTTGAACACATTTCACTATGACTACTGCCAACTGGACTAATCAGAGGCGATGGTGGAGTTTGAGAACCGCACTTATGATTTAGCAGTTGTTGTTGTCTACGGAATTTCATATGACATTGGTCACAATCAATTAAACTCTCATTATCATGCTGTGCCACGTGTTGTTTTAGCTGATTGGAGTCACTGAATTTACCATCGCAGATTTTACAATTGTAAGGACGTTCACCGGTGTGTACACGTAAATGCCGACGCAAATTAGCGACCTGTACGAATTGTCGATCGCAGTGGGTGCAATGATAGGGTTTTTCTCCAGTATGCAAACGCATGTGGGTTTTCATATGATGATCGCGTGTGAACTCCTTCTCACAGACAGGACATTTGAATGGTTTTTCGCCAGTATGTGTGCGCATATGATTCTGCAGGACATGTTTGTAACCAAAAGAACGATTGCAAGTGTCACATATGAATGGTTTGTCACGTGCATTATCTTTGCGATTGTTTGGTGTGTTTCCACCGTCTTGACTTGAATTTGATGATACAGCACTGGAGGGTGGTGAGATTGGTCCGGGTGTGCTATAGATATCATTAATACTCATTGGTATATCCATGACATTGGAAGAGCGTAGTTTTTTCATAGATAGTTCATCATACATATTTGTGATTGGCGAGATACTATGACAGTGTTTGCCTACACTGATGGGTGGACTGATGGGTGATTGTGGACTGGCAGGTGGGGAGTTTGACAAGGTTGTATGTAGTGGTGGTAGGTGGGCTTGTGTAGCTGTTGCTGCCGGCCATTGGCTAAATATAGTTGAGTTTGGTGGGAAGAGTGTATTGGTCAATGTGGACATCGGTAATTGTGCTGCCATAAATGCAGCAGCAGCTTGTGTGTTTGCAGCAAGGAATTGTGTTGGCAACATGCTAAAAGCACCAGCAGCTGCTGCTGCTTGATGTAAGCCTGGATACATTGCTGTCGCAGAATTAGCTGACATATGTGCACTCAAGGCTAGTGTGTGATCGACTTCTTCACGATTTATGCCAGCTAAAGTAGCAGCTATTTCTGTAAAGTAAAAAAAGGATAAAAAATTAGTAAAGTTAACTTAAGAACTTAAGGATATTAAGGATTTTATATAAAAAAAACTGAGCGTATATTAGGGAATTTTTCTGTGCATTCAGCATATAAAAGGGGAAACCCTTAAACTACATATGTATTAAGGGAGTAAACACAATACAAACGAATAAGAGTAAAACTGTACATGTTAAGAGATGAAAAGCTTCTAGGGGGTGTGTTAAAGAGTTGGGCTGCTTAAGTAAATGAAATGTTTGTAAACAAATAGTTAATGGTATACAGAAAAACAAAAGAAAAATGGTGTTGACTGCCATTGAGACGTCGTAATTGTTGTTAAATGACTTGTACTGAGTCTTTGATTGTTGTGTGACTACCAGTTAAAGTCAATTAAAGTTACTTTTACTTAAAAGTTTTTAGGACTAAATGTATAAATAAACGCACTTTTGTAAACAAATAACATTTTTTATTAAAATTATTACTAAAAATATTACATATTTTATATGAAATTATTATTAAAGTTTAAAGAATTAGTGTATTACGTTACTTACTTCGTGATTGTGTATCCTGCAGCATTGAAATAGCCATTTTCATATAAAATTTTTTCTTGGGGTTTCGATTACGAACTTATATGTTGATTTTTAAAACACTTTTTTCGGCAACAATTTAATTTTGTTATTTTTATAACGTTTTTAATTAACAAATTTTTGGTATTTATAAAAATGTAAAAGTTTGTCATATATCCTTTATTTTTAGTTTGCTAAAAAATGCGTTTAAAACTTTATACTTATAAGCAAACTATGTTATATATATTTTTCAAGTTATTTTAATAAATTATTGAGGTAGTTGTCTATAAGTCTTGTCAATATTTAAGACACTTAAGTTACAAATTTGTTGTGCATTCGCTGACGTTTTATTTAAAACTGTTCAATATTGTATTGGAAAACTGACGATATACTTATAATTTTATAAAAATATATTCTGTATTTCTTTTTTCAGTTTCCAAAAAATCGTTTCTTGTTTTGAATGCGCAATGATTGAAATAATGAATGTGTTTCACAGTTTCTCTCACTACAAGAGTTAAATCACTACTGATAGCTATTCTGTAGCTGTGTCAAATTTAAAGGAAGAAGCGGCTACTCAATTTCTACACATAGAAAAGAGGAAAAATTACACTCCAAATGCGCACAAATAAATTTTTCTCATATAGAACAATAGAATGTTGACGCCGGACGTCGAGGGTTGTTGCTTACTTGACTATAAAATGTGCCTAAAACAATAATAACAACAACAACACGTTATATTTCAAAACAAAACACATACAGAAAATACTGGCAAGATTCACACACACTAATATACATGTACTAATGACTTTGTTTTGTTTTCTTTAAGAAAAAAAAAAAAATAGTAAAAAACGATAGGAAACAGGTAAACTATGTTGTTTTTAAAAAAATGATGCGGTATGACTTTTTAGATTTTTTACCTAGGTTTTATAGTCGTGTAATAATTTTTTTACACTTAAAACCGCCAACAGATCCTCGTAAGTTAGGTGGATTCTCATAAAAAACTCTTGCATTTAGTTCTTTATCCTTATACCGATTTATGAAGTAGTCTTTCATTTTTTATTGAGAGAAATTGAGCTCAAAATTTTTGAGTGAAAAATTTGCCTTGACAAGTATTTGAGTGGATTAAGTCAACAAATGGTTGACTATTGGAAATATACATCAATACTTATTTAATAAATAACTTAATAAAACTTTTTAATTTATAAGCTATAACAATTTTTTATTATACAAATCAAATTAATAATAAGAAAACAATTCGATTATAATTATAAGTTAGGAAATACTAAACAGCTGAACTCAGGTGGTCTATGCTGATAATCCCAGTTGACTTAATCGATGCTTAATCTTGTAATAAACGCAACATTCTTGGATGGATTTATTGCGTTTTATAGGGATTTATTTGAATGCATAGATTGTAAAATACTACGGGTGTATTCCCATTCAGTAAAACTCTTCTTATTCTTTGACTTCACAGAAGTTTATTTTTAATTTATTAAATTGAATTTAGGCTCATCATTAAACGGAACAAATGACGTCTTAATTTTTATATTCTGTGCTATGTTTTGGAAGTCACCACATAGCAACTGATATACAGTTTGCAGTTGCTCAACATATACTAATGAATTCTGATAATTTTAAGCCAGTAAGGAAGCTATATTATTAGGCATTATTTGAATTATGACACTATTTCCCATTTTTTTTTGATCTTTATATCAACGCCACCTTCCCCTTAATTCAATTTTAGCAAGAAAAATTTGGTGAGCTTTTTTGGAATGAGGGTCCTAATATTTCTGCCTCTGCATTTTACCATTATTCATGCTATTAATTTGATAAAGGTAAGAACAAGAGTTCCCAATTTCATCGATTGTATTCAATAAATAATATCAATTTAAAAATAAAGTTAAAAAATTAAATAAATAAAAATAAATAAATTGTAAATAATTTTAATAAATAATTATTAAACTATAATTCAATTAATTAAAAATAAAATTTCGTCGTTTCACAGGTGTTCCAAAATCATTGTACTAAAAAATAGTTTCAATTCTAAAAATAATTCCTTCCGTCTCTCATAATTGCCTTTAAAAATTATAATTAGTATAAATCTTTTATTTTTAATAAGTAAAATTTTCATTCGAACATCTATTTGTTTAATACACAAATGTTATGAATAATTAACATGTGTGTTACTATTATGTATAAAATGCGATTATACGGATAGATCTGTCATGGATAGTATCAGCTATCAAATATTTGATATGATATTTGACATCATATGATTATGTACCTATGATGAATTTTGCTAACTTTTAGAAATCAGTAATCCATTTCCATAAACTTGTATGTTAAAGTCATAACCCATTTAAAAATAAAATACCATAGTTAAATTTAATTTTATTAGTAATCGTAAAATACAAATTTAAATACCGTGGATTATCCTCCTTTCGTGAAAACTTTTTTCAATGAAACCTTAGGAAGGTAGAAACCTTTCGAAAAATAATCGTCATTGAAAAAAAATCGTCACTATATGTTATATACATAAAAATTTGCAAAATATATGTTACTTTAAAATAAAATTGCTACGTTTAAAAAATATATATAGTTACCAAGTAAATGTAGATAATATTATTGATATTAATCTCATGCTAAAAATATCGAATAGTAGTGAAATTGCAACAACAAACATTTTTTAATATTTTTAATTCATTGAAAAATAATTAAATATAATAAACTATTATTATTCTATTTAAAGATGTTAATAATTTAATAATTAGTCGTTAACTTAGAGCGTATTTATTATTCATGTATAATAATTTTTAATTTATTTTATATTTATTATACATTATTCATTTTATAAATATAAATTATATTATTATTATATATTATAATTATAATATATATAATATATATATAATATATATTATATTTATATATTATATATATAATATTTATTAATAATTATAATAAATAATGATTATGTATGTATTTCAATATTGTCCTTAATTTATATATAATTTATAATATATAATATATATATTATAATTACAATATTACATATTATATATATTATATATTATAAATTATATATAAATTAAAGACAATATTATAATTATATATATTATAATATTGTTATATTATTTATTTATTATTATTATAATAATTATAAAAGATAATGATTATATATATGTTTCAATATTGTCTTTAATTTAATATATAATTTATAATATAATATATAATTATATATAATATATAATTATGTATTACATATATAATATGTATATAATATATATATATATATATAATATATATATTATAATATATATATAATATATAATAATATATTATATATTATAAATTAGATATAAATTAAAGACAATATTGAAATATATATATAATCATTATTTATTATAATTGTTAAGAATTTATTATGTATAGTATAAATTTAAATTTATTTATAAATTAATGATTATAATAAAATTTATATAATTAATTAGTCTTTGCATATTATTATCCTAAGCTTATTACCACAAAAAACATATATACACCTTATCAGTGACATTACTTTTTTTTACCCATAAATATAAAATTAAGGAAGTAATAAATAAAAAAATAAACTGCAAACCACGAATTCTTCAAAAACTAACATTACTTCCGAATTCTATTGTAATTATTCTTTATAGATAAATATAATAAAAAACATAATAAATATGTACGTAAAAAAACAGTATGAAGGTCAGTTAATATGCATAATGGGAGGAGTGTCCTTAGACTTTTGTATGCCAGACTGCAATTACATAAAAGCGTGCACTTTTATGTGTACACCTTCAAGTCCGCAACTCACGGGCGTGACTTTTTAATATTATGTGTATTAAAGACTTAAAAACTTATGTCAAGAACGTGAACTTGTGTATTAGAAGTGAACTAGGTAACAAATAATAAAAAATGATTTCAGTATAAAAAATATTCATACTAAGAAATTACGTAGAAGTATTAATATTTATGAAGTAAAATAAATAGTTCATAATTATATTTCCTAGAACTTTCTACGCAAAGTATAAATTCATTCGTTCATAAATACAAAATTCAAAATATAGAGAGGTTTCTATCGAATAGTAGTGAAATTGCAACAACAAACATTTTTTTAATATTTTTAATTCATTGAATTTTTGGCTGATCATAGCTGTTTCGAGTATTGCCAAATATCCATCATAAATGGTTTCGGAGTACAAGTACTAAAAAGTAAGTACTTGAGGCTGCCATTAGTATTTTATTAAAAATAATATGTATTTAATTTCCTTAAAAACGTACTAATCGACTTATTTGTGTATTCCTCTTAAGCTTAGTGATTATTCAATGACTGATCTAAGATCTGCGTACCGCTCCGTCCAGTTAGTGATTACTCTGAGATTAGATATTGCTAAATAGGACGGCCTGTCGGTTTTTGGTATATAGCTTCACAGATCTGTCCCTTATGTGTTTTTTGACCGGATCTATTTTAAGGTCTCTTAGCATGACATTCATGCGGATGTACCATGGCACTTTAAAGAATCTTCGGAGAGCCAGACTTTGAGCTATACGCGACACACTCATAAAATAGTGCTGGTCTAATCATCTGGCTGTAGATCAGCTATCTGTTCTTCGCACTAAGGTTGTTGCGCAATTACTTCTTTTGTGCAAAGTGAAGCGCTTATCAAACGTGATTCCGAAGTATTTAATGCTGTCCTCTCCATTAATCGCGATGTCACCAACTCACACTCTCGGTGGATGCTGCCTGTGTTTACGAGGCCTTTAGTTTTTTCATTGTTAATTTTTATTTTCCATATCTGGAAGAACTCCAGGATGAGCTTAGCATGCTCCTGCAGCGTGTTGATCACATTTCTGGCAAGTTTATTGAAATATAACAAGCACGTATTCTCTATTCTTTAAACTGACGTTGGCAATAGCATGCTGTAATTCTTCTCCATTAAAAAATATACTACTTCTTATAATACTATTACTATTACTATAATAGCATTACTATCTGAACAATTAATGTCTTAATCAATGTCTGAGGAGAAAAAATGTAGCCTTTGTTTAGAAGCAGATGATATTTTTAGTTATACATATTGTGACTACTTTGATTTGATCTGGGCTAAGCGAATACTGGAGTTTAATACTATATGTTCGCTTGAAAAACCCACAGTGGAAGTATTCGCGGGCTTCAATTATAAGCTTGAGTATATACCGTTCGATTAGGATACATTTTGTTGGTAGAAAATGCTTACTAGTATTACCCATATTGGTGTCCTGCGCTAAGATTAAAAACATCTTGCACTTTATCAAAAACCTTAAATGGTTCGTTAAGTAATTGAGTTAAAATTCCATGTTGTATATTGGTATCACAATAAACCAGTGGGATCTAATTGAATTGATCAAAGAAATCCATTACGTTGTTAACCTAACCTAACCTGCCATTATGGTAGTGCACGGCTCCATTGGCAGTCAGTATCCTGTCAATTTCTTATTCCATTTAAATACCAGTGTTTCAACCAGTATAGTTTTATAAAATATTTATTTTCCAATGTGTCATTAATTGTCGATAGTCGTCATTACATTTATGAAGTTTAGTTAATAAACAAGTATACAATGATTATTTTTATTGATTAATTCGTTTTATATATATTTTTTTTGAATCAAATTACTCCTTATTGAAAAATTTCTTTATTAAATGTTTTGTAAAAAATGAATTCTATTTAAAAATTAATTGTTTATGTTTGCCACACGTAAAATTGGCATGCCACAAAAAACACACACAAATCGTCCTTAAAAAACTATATAAACACCAAGATACAGGTAAACCAGGATCAAAAAATAAAAAACAAATGTCAACCCTTTCTCTCAAAGCGTACCAGTAAAAAATGGTAAACATATTGTAAAAAATGAACTAAAAAATAATGTCTGGAATTACTATTCTCTGAGTTTCTAGAATGTCCAAGGATACATAGGACATTCTCATAGTATCATACTATTCTTATAAATATTTGTCTTAGTCTTCAATGTATTCATTAAAATGTGAAATGTGGACAAAAAATTTGAATGCTTTTTGCGGATTGACTTTTTGATGATTTTATTTTTATTGGTGTATTATTTTAAATGACCTTCATTTCCAAAAAAATTTTTGACTTTTACTCAAACATAAAAAGTTATTATTATTTTTTAAGATATTTGGGTATTTAGTCAAGAAAATGGCATGTCCTTTACGAGCGTTTATTGTCTTCTTACTGTTGTGACTGGCGATGACTATTTTAATGAGCCAAACAAAGGCGTACCATGAATTCAGCCAACTTTACTTTTGCTGGCTTTGTGCAGACACAGTGGGTAGCATAGTGTCCTTTTGGTCAAACAATGATGTATCCTTCTCTATAATGTTGCGTCAAATTCGTTTAGTACATTTTGAAATTGTTATTTGCAACATTTTTAACAATTTTTGCGAGAAAGAATAGCAAACACATTGTCTTAAATTTTCATATTTCTTGAAATACTTTTAAAGATGCGGAAAAAGTATATTAGAAAATAAGAATAGATTAGGTATATAGTTGGCGAAATTTTATGTTATATATTAACTTATACGAGCACATAGTAAATATATAACAACTACTATACTTGCTTTGTAGGTAAGTAGTTTGCATATAGTTTTGTGGCATTAAATCTTATTTGGGAATTTTACTATCTGAACTGTTAGTTTAGCTCTCAATGTTCTCGATGTACTCGATTTATTGATAATTTTCAAAATCTTGTAGTTGAAGTAATAAAACTACAAGTTTTTGAAAATATTTTTGCTATTTTTAATACTTTCTTTCCTCTCGATTATAGTTCATAGTGACTAATCATTTTAATAATTTGAACAAACAATAATTTTAAATTAAATGGAAAGTGATAATTGGGTCTGCTCTTAGCGATAAGAATACTTAGTAATCCAATATTATTTTTGACAGCGTACCATATCAATTATTGCAATAAAAACAAATTTCAAATCCTATGTGTAAACAGGATTAACTGATAGTGATACTGTTAGTTTGCTATTAATCAATTGCGGTATGTACAGAATGTCTATTATTTCAAGCATATAATTGCTTATTGATTGTCTTTCAATAGAGTTAGATACTTCAATGTGTACAAACTACATTTAAATAATCAAACTTATAATAATAATTAATAATAATAAAAATTGAAATAAATATGAGAATTTTGAAAAATAAATATTCTTATCTCTAATTCAACTTAAATGTTTTTGAGCAAATTTTAATTGTCTACGTATACTATATATACGGTTCTGACCTTCAAATTTCAAGAATATTGAACTTGAAATAAATTTTGAATACGCACTATCGGTGCGTACCATTGACTTAATTTCTTAGCGATGCGTAAGTTTTGTTTATATTATATTAAAAATATTAAATTTTTTTTAAAATGTTTAATATTGTTAAAATTTTTGACCTACCTCAAGTTGAAATTAATTGAGTATTCAATTTATTGTTGTTATTTTTAGAAAAAAAATTATTTAATATAAAGGTTAAAAAAATTTATTTAACAAAATCAATTAAAATATAGCAAACACCCTAAACAAAAAAAAAATATATATATATATTTAACTAGAACTAAAATTAGAATTAGAAAGAACAAATCATGCAACAAATAATACATTGACTATAATGTCAGACTATATGTGTATCGTAGCATGACCCAAAGACAGTCAGAATTATATATATAAATTAAGTGATTAGTTTAGATTGGTACCACTCGCAGTTCAATATAATTATAAACCCTTCTCCGACTAAATTCTAGTAAAAACGACTTGATATTCAGTGATATTATTTAATTAATATTTACTTATATTTTCAATTCCATATAAGAAAATTTTAATGGCTTATTTTGAAATGATTATTGAAGAACAGAAGTAAGCTCTGACATTTAAAAAAATTTTAATGTTGAAAAAATTTTTTTTTAATTTAAAAAATCAATTAAAGTTATATATGCTTTTTGAAAAAGTAAGTAAAATTTTGTATTTTTAGCAAAAAATCAAAAATATATTTTTTTTCGGTTGATCATATTTGCTGTTAAAATTATAAGTCATGGATGCGGAATATTCTTTCAGCAATAGACGAGTATGATTCTAATATATGTACATATAAAATATTAAGATATTAATGTGTTATTTTTTAGTTCTGTGGTGGTGGAGGAGATGCAGACGTGACTAATATTCCCAGAAATATACCAAACTACTTTCGCTTGCCTTTAGTTGGATCATGGAGATACCAATTAAAATTTCCCTTACTCCACAGGGAAATACAAGAAGAATTTGAACAAGAAATTCAAGTAGAGCAAGAAAAATTACGTCGCAAAATGCGTATACCAGCAACGGAGCTAAGGGAAATTCATGTTATGTATGGTTTGCCGATTTATATGAGCACTAGATTTAGACCTTTGCGCATAAAATCAGAATATGCACGACTAAATCGGAGAAAACAGTTGGAGTATCAACGACGACTTGATCTACTTGTCAAAAGATTATACAAGAGAAAAACAAGGGAATTAAGAGATGTAGTAAAGAAATCTAAGATACTTAAGAAACAATATAACTTAGCTAAAATACTTACCACCATTGGAGGCTTCTGCTTCTGGGTCTACCTCAATTCCTAAATGCAGCATATTGATTGCAAAGTCAGTATTCTTCGTCAATAGTTTGATTTGCAATAAAGAAGTAGATAATTGTTAATTATTATATGCGCCTTTTTTATTGTTTATAGAATTTAAAATTGAGGCGTTACTGATAGAGTCACTATAAATTCAGAATTAGTATTATTAATAGCTCGTATATAAGCTATCTGTTTTCTGTTGCGTTCTATTAGACGTAAATCATTTACACGATTTTTCTGTTTGTTCATCTATAAGGTATCTGTAGTTATTTACGTCATCAAATACGTTGAGTGTTCCATGACAGTGCCGCGTGAAAGATGTCGTCATATGGTTTTCGCAGTATTTAAAAAATTCTGATAATATATTCTACGGTATTTATGGCTGAGTATATAGTTGTCTGATGCTTTATAAGACGCAGTTATTTCGTATAAGTTAAAAATTAACACATAACAGTTAACACTCTTGAAAATCAAAATAAATTTTTAACATTCTTATATCAGTTTAAAATATCTATTTTTCACTAAAAATTTGATTGCTACAACGCCGTGGGTATAGCTGCCCACAAAACACAACGCGACCACCTTACACACAACAAGTAACACTGACTTGAATTTATTCACTCGAAGGTTCCTGTAATAAAAAAATTGTTAAGTACTTATGAAAACAGTAAGTTAAACCAATTTACCGCAATCCTCTGCCACCAACAACGGAACTTTTGGATTTGACAAATCCTGAAATTGTATGAAAATTATAGGTTAGTGCGTAAATAATTTTTAAATAAAACAATAAGACACATACCTTGAGCTATCGTTGGGTGTTCTATATTGCTGGAACTTTATTGAAAAATAAAATAATTTTAAAATAATTGTCTAATTAATAGAATGAAATACACATGTTCACTGGCACAACACATTTTTAAACAAACGAGATCAAAAGAAAATAATAATAAAGAGACCTGTAAAACGAAGAAAGCTTTGTGCAGAAAGGTGTGGAAGTGGATCGCAACTCAGACAAAAACCACTTCTAAATTGTAATTTGAGTACTTCAAAGAAATGCAAATTCGCCGTGAAACTAGACTTTCGCTCAGTGCGGAGCAGAAGAGGAGCTTTAATGTTGGGTCAACAAACTTTAACGTTTTTACAGCTGACACCATTGACCGTGGACGGGATAAAAAGAGCGTTCACCAAGAAGAAACTCTCTTCAGCAGCAGCAATTAATTATCTTTGACTAAAACGGCGAAATTTTAATAGTTTCTCAAACATAGTGAACAATTTTGCACATAACGATTATTTGAAATTAAATTAAATTAATTAAATTATTAAATTTGTTAATAATGAAATTTCAAAATTTTTATTTATAAATTGTGAAAACTTAATAATTGAATTTTACAACCGAATTTAAAGCGAAGTAAAAAATACGTATAAACTAATATTTTGTACATAAAGATTATTTTAAATTAAATTAAATTAATTAAAAAAATTTAATTTATTAAAATTTAATTAATTATAAAATTGGTTATTATCGAAATTTCAAAATTTTTATTTATAAATTGTGAAAACTTAAAAATTGAATTTTACAACCAAATTTAAAACAAAGTAAAAAGTACATATAAACTAATATTTTGTACATAAAGATTATTTTAAATTAAATTAAATTAATTAAATTATAAAATTTGTTAATATCGAAATTTCAAAATTTTTATTTATAAATTTTGAAAACTTAAAAATTGAATTTTACAACCGGATTTAAAGCAAAGTAAAGAGTACGTATAAACCACATTTTGTACATAATTATTTAACTTCTCCTGAACGGTGCAAATTTAAAAGTGGGAATCCAACTCAAGACATACAACGGCACGATTGAGAGACATAGGTAAGCAAGATTCAGGGCTTCAACAGTGACTGAATCTCGGTTGCACGGGATATAACTCACGTAGCTTTAACAGTCACGTGTGTCTATACCATAGTGTCGGAAGCGATAGGTAGCTTTAATAGTAACCTAACGTCTCCGGCCCCTGGGCGCTTTAACAGTGAACAGGGAAGGGCGTGTAACACCACTCACGTAGCTTTAGCACTCACATGTGCTTGTATTATATCGTGTCGATTACTGTCAGTAATTCCATTGCGTCTGTGGTTCCGGTTGATATTCGATCCAAGTTATCTTCACCTAAGACGTCAGAGAAATTGGAAGTGACGGGGTTTCGCCAAATAAATTTCTTGTGTGAGTCTTCGCGACGGCTTAGTTTAACCCCAGCTATACAGGAACCAAAACAAAGGTTCATTACAATACATGTAAATATGAAAAACTAAATTCTTTTTTTAAATTTGATTTAAAAATATAAGTTTTCAGTTTCATAAAGTACAATTTTTCCGTTATATACATAAAAGACATGTGTCCTTCTGTAACATAACCTCTCTAAACACTTACTCCTTTTTTGGGTTAAAAAATTGACAAATTAAAGAAGATTTTAGTATATTTTTTTATAAGATATTGTTAAAAAATTAAGGGTTCATCACTAAAAATGAAAACACACTTCAATGTGTCAATATAAAGGAGAAAAAATAAAATAAAAAAATAAATTCTAAACAAAGTAGAGTGGTGAACTTGTATGAGAGCATGAATGAAAGGATTTACGCACCACACTATCAAAATATAGTAGTTAATGGATACATGCCTACGGGTAGTCAAAAAAGGATCCTTTTATTATGATGTACAAATTAAAGAACACATTATGATGTAAGTAAGCCGAGCCTGCGCGTATCGTCCTGTTGACGCGTGTACGACAGAACTGCCTAAAAAACGGATTAAAAAGGAGTAAAAAGTACTTTCACTTTGCAAGGATTCTGCAAACAAAACGGGGTTGTAAGCTGTCATCTGATATTTGCCCACAAATTTTTTAACAATTTGTAACACTAGAAGAAAAACATGATTTGCACTAATTTTTTAGATATCCTTTTTTTAAATGATTGTTGATTTTATTGATTTACAGTCAATCGACATTGCGGGCATGATGTGATGATTTGATAATAAATTTTTTCTATTGATAACTGTGAGTTAATTTTTAAGGGTTAGTTTAGGAAAGATGAAAAAGTATTTTGATGAGGAAAATATAATTAAGAGCGTTAAAAGGAATATAAACAAAAGAATAAGAACTGATCCAATAGTTATTTTTACTAAATACTTTATTATTAAAAACAGCTTTTTAAATCAATGAGGCAATATAGGGGTCCATATTAACTTAAAAAAAATGAAAAAGTATTCTTATAACAAAAATATAATTGAGTTCAAAGGAATATAAACAAAAAAATAAAAAATAATCCAATTAGTTTTTCTTACTTAATAAATATGTTGTTTTGTTTTTCTGAAATAGCTTTTTGGATCACGAACATCACATCGGGATCTATGGGTTAGTTTTAAGAGTAAAAAAAAGTTAAAAAACTTAAAATAGTTGAAAAAGTATTATTATTAAGAAAACATAAAAGAGGGAGTTACCATAAAAAGATAATTGAATCGTTGAGAACACCTAGGGTTCCATAAATTACTTTTTAAGAATTAGATTAGAAAAGAGAAAGTGTTTTTATAAGGAAAATGTAACTGAGAGAATTAAAAGAATACTAGCTGAAACCTTAAGAAGTGTTTTTATAAGGAATATGAAACTGAAAGAATTAAATGGAAACTAACTGAAACCTTAAGAAGTGCTCCAAAAAGTTTTTACTTTATATATAAATGGTATCCTTTCCTCAAACGGTTATTTGCATCATTAAACCCATATTAGGTATAATAGATCAATAATTAGTTTTTAAGAGTTAGTTTAGAAAGGACGAAAAATCATTCTTATTATGAAAACATAGCTGAAAGAGTTAGCAAATTAATAAAGGTTAAGAAATACTCTAAAAAGTTATTTGTACTTATTATATATATATATTTTTTTTTAATCCATTTATTTTATTACAATCTGTCGGGTATGAATGACAATAAGTAATACATATTAACATGAATCGTAATAATAGTTATTACGATCTAAAAAAGAAAGGCACGTGTGGACTATGTCCAGTGACATATCCATATATAATTAAAATAGAAGTGTGTGACCTACATATATCTATTTAAAACATCTCTTGATGTTTTTCTTTTTAGCCTTGTAGAAGTGTTGGAGGGGGGAATCAGGTGTGTACATATATATGATATCTGTTCCTTAATAGCTATTTTATTTGTTTTTTTAGAATCATAAATCTCTTTTTTTTGGTTTAGTGATGTTAATAAGTAAAAGCAAATTTTATTAGTAAGTAAAATGCAAGAAAAAATAAAATAAATAAAATTAACAAATACAAAACAAAAAAAATTATGTCACAAATATACTTGTTTTATCTATTAGCAGTAATTTATTTAGGTAATCTCTCTTCTAATAAATTGACTTGTAAATGTTTTTTATGGTATCGTAAATAAAATCAACGGTGTAGTATGATGTTTGTAGGTAGAGATATACTTCTTTTAAAGAAACTTAATAACATATATATATATTATTGTTTAGTTATAAATGATTACATTAAAGAATTGATTGTGTTATTTTTTAGATATAAAAAATTTTTATGTAAATAAAGTATATATTTATATGTTTGTATAAAATGACATTTTTTTAGATATGAAACATATATTTCTAAAAATTACCTTACTGGCTTACATTAAAAGAGGTCAAAAAAACATTTACTTCATATTTTCCACACATCTATAAACGGCCACTGTGTAATAATCTCCGAATTATTATCCGATTTTTTTATGATACTTTTCTTATACTTGCAATCAAGGATCAGCTGTTTGTAATTTACTATAATTTCCTTAAAAAATTCAAACAATATAACTGAAGATCAAGAAGTTTTAAAAGAAATTCTTAACATAAACAATTTTTAATAATTGCGGCTATCCGTCATTATCGCGGGTACATACATACTTCCTAATCCCTTTCCTTATACATAATCACTGCCTAATTTCCATAATATTCAGTTGCATATGTATTACATACTTTACTTTATTTTCATTGTCATTGAATTTAAATTTTCCATCCTCTAAATTTTTCTATTACGAATAAAACCGCCAATTTGCTACGCATGAGGTACAGACCTATTGTTTCATCCTTTATCCTTTTTTAATCCTTTTGTTCTGTGAAGTAACACAGAATACGCAACACGCAATACTAAAACCGCAAACTTCCCCTCACATTTATTTATATCTATAGGTATATGTATACATATATACAATGCTTATGCTCGTAAATCGTACAAGTCATAAAAGGATAAAAGTCAGCTTAGGTGTATATGCAAATGAATTTGAAATAATTGCCGATACGCAAATTTGTATATAATGTCTTTGCTGGTTTAAGAAAACCGCAAAGATATTTAATTCTTAATTCTTTTTTCTGAACTCGTAATTCCATTGTTCTTTGTTAGGAAATTTTTGAACCCGTTCAATATACCCTTTTCCTCATTTTTGATATATGTAAGAGCGTTAATGATGCTTATGAGGTTTTTCCATTGTCTTGAAGTTATTAAAAGACTTGATCCTTTAAGTCAGAATTAGGAGAAACAGACAGAATTATTGTCTGCTCTTAAATATTTTGTTAAATATTGTAATTCATTAGCGTAGATTTAGTGACATATATGATTTTCGAGCGATGATTTTAAATGATTGAAATAGAAAATATATTTAAGTAAAGGTATACTTAAGGATTACTTTAAATATGTTGAAATACAGGATAGCAGGTTTAATTTAGTGACATGAGGTTAGATTATACCGGAGATACGAAAGGCTTATTGGCACATTGTGTTATAGAGATATACGAATACCATAGATATTCTAGTCTTGACTGTTAACGAATCTGCTGTAAAAGAAAGAGTTCAACTCACATTATATTAATTTAGTAAAACTGCAAATAAAATA